ATGCATGTACAAGAAAAATTGGTTTGGACAAAGTTGGAGTGAAGATCAATGAAAAGTAAGGGCAGATGTCTGTAATACCGCTGACTGCTGAGCTTGTGTCGTTTACTGTAGCAATGGTAGCGGTGCATAGACATTCAAATGCTTTGAGGAGAAATTTGTTTCCTGTTTGCATACGCTTGGATAGGAGACTGTGTAGCAGATAGCTGCATTTCTCCTATAGTACTGCCTCGTTTGCTTTTTTGGTACTGAAACGTCACTTCCTAAATGGTGGAAGTCAAAAGTGTCTGGTCTGTTCTATCGAGGTTCACAGGTCAGTCTCAGCTTCTTCCAGTGCCTGGGCTTTCTAGGATCTGTCAGTTGTTTCTTGTACTCTCTTGTTCCTCTCTCCTTGTTTGTATTGCTCCCACCTCTTGGGGCAAAGAACAGTTTGTTCATACAGGCTTTTAGTGTGGTGGGTTTCGTTTGCATTTTTAATGTAAATGCTACTATACGTTTATTTTGAAATGTAAACTTAAACTCACAGTGGAAGTTGGTAATGCGTTTTATGTTTTGGAGAAGTTTATTTCTTGCCTTAGAGCAACCCGTGGGAGCAATCTGTGTCCTGTAGAGGAGCATTTCATGTTTAATGTAGTGAGGTCGTTGCACCAGGGAGTGGAGCTATCGGTAACTAAAACAACTTCGGGCCTGTGGCGCCTCGACGATCTTCCCTTTGAAGAAAAGACACAGGACCTGAACTTGACTTGGCAGTCTACGGAAAAACAGTGCAGCTTATATATGCACGCAGTGACTGACGTTGCTGAAAGGAATTGTTGCGATGTTCTAAATAAGTGGAAATTTAGGTCCGCTGAAAATTGGCAGGCCCATGTTGTCTTGTAGAACGGTTCATATCTTTCTGACATCAGGACACCTATTACTAGCTTAATAGAATGAACTATAAAATTATTAGCATAAACTGTATATTTGTTAACAAGAGCAATATTGAGGAAGCTGGATTTTAAGACGGGAATTGCTGCTGGTCCCTCAAGTAACTGTGTGACTATTTCTGTGCCTGTCTGATTAGGTTTCCCTGTTACATGTGTTTCCTGCAGTGATTACTGCACTGTCTCATTTATTAATGAAGTAGGAAATATTAATAATTAAAAGCTTCCATTAGCTCAGTACACTTATAGCTAAAAAGCTTTCTGGCTGTCCCTTAAGTAGGGTGTCTAACAGCTTGACCTGTCTCAGTGTAGGAGCCTGAAGGGTGAGTTTATAGAAACTGCTTTAGCCACTGGACTGGAATTTCAGTAGTGGAGAAATTATTTTGTCCTCCCACTTGTGTGGGAGAACGTCTCTTCTGGTCATTCCTCGAGTTTGTCAGTACACAGCTCAGGTGGTAGTAGAGGGTGTTTGAGGAAAGGATTTGTGGGTCGCCAAAGAATTGATTCAGGAGATGAACCACAACTTCTTGGGCTACCTCCTTATCCAGCATGTAAATTCCTCTAGTTTGGGTCAAATTTGCCCTACTTTATGTTCTTGCCCAAGACTGTAAGACTGTGAATATGACTTCTTTCCCTCATACTTCAAATATGTGTCTTTCTCTTAAAGCTAAAGGGCGTAGCTCCTGCAAGGCTTTTTACGCCTCCAGTCTTCACAGCAGAACACTTAGATCTTTTTTCTTCTTAATTCAAATTGCAGAACAGGAAAAATTCCTGTCAACGATGAGGAGCAAACAAACGTGCCGTATATCTATGCTGTTGGAGATATACTGCAAGACAAGCTGGAACTCACACCAGTGGCAATCCAGGCAGGAAGATTGTTAGTTCAAAGGCTTTATGCTGGGGCAACCAGTAAGGTAAGGAACCAGTTGGCACAAAACACTGTCATTGCTCTACTTCTAAGTGCAGAGTGCAAGTCTCCTTGTTTATGGAAAACTCAGTAGGCTTTTAAGGATTAGCTTTGATGATGACTTTAATTTCCCCTTGTAAAGATATTACTGCAGATGTGTTCTGCTAAATGTGCAGAATGAAATTAATACCTTATGGATTAAGCCATAGTCTCCTTTTTTCCTATTAAGAGGTTTTATTTTCCTCTCAGAATATAATGATAATAAAATTAACTGAGATCATTTAACTTGTTTTTAACTCTACCGCCTTCCCTAAAAGTCAGCAATCATTCCCCTCCCATTAAATGCTTTAGCTCTGATTCATAGGCAGTTTACTAAACCTGCCTACAGTCCCCAAATAGAGTGTAATAGGGGTTTGCGATGCTCTTCTTTTTCAATGTCATTTCCGCTAATTTTTTCACTTCTCGTCCATATGTTTTCAATGTAATACATAGTTCTGCTTATAATTGAATGTGGACACAAAGAAAGATCAAATGTACCAATAAGTCAGAACATATTTGTACCTGAAAGTTGAATTCATCGGTTCCGTGTTTATGTTTCATACTCGTGCAATTGCAGGTTTCAGCCAACTTATGCTAGTCCGAATAGAAGTGGCATGGGTACTCATTAACGCCTTATCTTTAAACCAGGAGGAAAGGAGAGTGCCTTTAAAGAACTGTTATCCAAGCAGCATTGATGTGGGTGCTTGTCTCACCTCTATAACCACAGGGCATGAGCATAAGGGCTTTTCTCTTTTAGAGCCTGCTGTATTCATATCAAGTTCAGATGTCGGCCAGATTTAGCACTTGATTGAGCTGTTTATTTTAGGTTGGCAGGTATTGCAGTAACAGAATCCTGAATCAGTGTGCATAATGTCATTACATCAGCCAGGCAAAGTTTACGAAAACCATAGCTGGAGCCAGATATTTTTTTTCTTGCTGCAACACTATGGATATGTCTTAATTTACATTTTACGCCAGATAACTGTCTCTCAAGGTATGAAAATCCTTATGCTGCCAAAGAAAGCATCATCTCTTTCAGTGAATCCAAGAAACGAGTAACTACTTAGATGGGATCCTGGCTTACATTGCTGTTGTAATAAATCTGGAAAGGGTGATTGTATGAAATGTAATGAACTGTTACAGATATGTGGGGAAAGAATAGTAAGCAGCATCTTAGCTGATCCCCAATCGCAAAGGAAATTAATTAGAGTTGAAATCCGTAGAAATTAGAATTACTAGAAGTTAAATAGACCTGACCAGCCTACTAGTCTGCTGTGGCAGAATGACTAATTTGGTGGATATGGGTAGAGCAGTGGATGTTGTTTACTTTGATTCTAGTAAAGGCTTTTGACACTGTATCCCATAACATTCTCAAAGACAAACTGATGAAGTACAGGCTAGATAAGTGGACAGTGAGGTGGATTGAAAACTGGCGGAACTGCCAGGCTTAAAGAGCTGTGACCAGCATTACAAAGGCCAGCTGAAGGTGAGTCAATGGTGACATGCCACAGGGTTGGATACTCGGTCCAGTACTGTTTAACATCTTCGTTAATCATCTGGATGATGAGGCAGAGTGCACCCTCAGCAAGTTTGCAGGTGATACAAACCTGAGGAGAAGTGACTGATGCACCCGATGTTTGTGCTGTCACTCAGAGGGACCTCTTCAGGCTGGAGAAATGAGCTGACAGGAATCTCACGGAGTTCAGCAAGGAGACGTGCAAAGTCCTGCGCCTGGAGAGGTGTAACCCCATGCACCAGCACAGGCTGTGGACCCACCAGCTGGAAAGAAGATGTGCAGAGAAAGCCTTGGGGGGGGTTTGGAGGACAACTTGACCGTGAGCCAGCAATGTACCCTCATGGCAGAGAAGGCCAGTGACATCCCGGGCTGCATCCTGCAGATGCATCCTGGCAGAGCATTGCCAGCTGGTGGAGGGAAGGGACCTTTTCCCTTCTGCTTGGCTCTGGTGAGACAAGTTTGGGTTTTTTGTCCAGTCTTGGGCTCCCCAGTACAAGAAGGACAGGGCAAGTCCAGCAAAGGGCCATGACTATGATTAAGGACTGGAGCATCTGGCACATGAGGAGAGGCTGAGATAGCTGGGAAATTTTATACCTGGCAGAAGAGATGCCTTGGGGAGGGGCTCTTATATCAATGTGTATTTGTACCTGGTGGGAGACAGTAAAGAAGATGGAATCAAACTCTTTCCAGTGGTATAAAGTGCAAGGACAAGCAGCAATAGATTCAAACTGCAACACAGGAAAATTCCATTTAAACATAAGAAAAAACTTCTTTACAGTGAGGGTGGTCAGGCCCAGACATTGCCCAGTGGGAACCTCTAGAACACCGTAAAGCTCCGGTGAAGTCAGGGATCAGTGTTTGTCTCTGATGGTATATGATTAGGCACGCAGTATCAGCTCTAGTTCTAGCTGTCCCCCTAAACAACTGTAGTTCATGTCTGGTTCTTTGGCCGCAGTTGATAAAAAAGATTATGATTTTTGGATGTTGGTGGTGTCTTTGCAGCATCCCCAGCTAAAAATAGCATGCTTTGTAGACACAGCTGAACAGCTAACTTTTTATCTCCAGTTTGACCTGTGATCTGGTACATTTTTAAAGCAGGGCACTGAATTTACTCTTCCTTTTAATCTATGCATACTAATATCAGCGTGGTTTCAAACTGTCTTTCTGTTCTTGCTGTAGTTAACCAAAACTGTAGGTTAATTTAAAAAAAATCAACTTTCAGAATTATTAATAATCCAACTTTTCTTCCCGTCTTTCAGACTTATGAATTTTTACCCAATGTTCTGATTTTATTACTGATGTTGTGTTGTTTGGTGTGTTTTTTTAATGCCACACAGTGTGACTATGCGAATGTTCCAACCACTGTATTCACTCCTTTGGAGTATGGAGCCTGTGGGTATTCTGAAGAGACTGCGGTAGAGAAGTTTGGGGAGGAAAACATTGAGGTAAATGCCTTAGTTTCATCTGGATTTTACGTTCCCAATTTGTAAATTAAAATAATGTTAAGAGTCAATTAAAACACCACTCTGTGTTCTGATGTAAGGGCAGGAGGTGACCAGGTACATTTTTGTCTTCCTTGGCAGTTCCTAGACATGCTATAAAAATAGTCCCCAGTTCCGATAGCTCTAGTTGCAAATATGTTCTATTTTTGGCAAACAGGGCTTGAAGGTGGAATATTTTGTTTAAAAAAAAAAAAAGGATTTATTTTTGTCTGCAAATACTTCAGGATAAATTAAAGCTGGGTATGTGCTGGAAGCAATAAATTGGTTTTGATCTCAAAGGGGAGCTTTTTGTAGCTACAGTGTGGCAAATTCCTTGCCATGGTGATTCTTACTTTATAAAGCCAAATGTTATGCTCATTTTTCCTGTTTATTTTGACTATGCAAGGAGGTATGCGCCTAATTTTACTCACGTGAATGATCCCTTTTCATTCACTGGGATTGCTGGTCAAGAGTGAAATTAGACACATGTAAGCACTTAGTGCCTAAGGCTGTTCGTACAAAATACTGTACAGACCACAGTACAGAAAGCATGAAGGGAGGGAGTATGACAATAAACTGAACTTTTATGTCCTGTGAAGATTACCTGAGGAGTGTTATTTGGGAAAATAAGCAGATAAGTGGTGGCTTACAAAGTTGAGAGCTTGTCTCCCTCTTAGCTTTGTCAGTTATATTTTTTGGCTTGGACTGCGGAGAAAACAAATTATTATGACTTAAAATGGCAGTGTGTTAAGTGCTGTTAACCTGGCTACAGGACAGGGGTTTAAATTCTGTTTTCCCCACGAAGTTTGTATATACACAGCAAATTTTTGTTAGTGTGTCAAATTCTTGCTGTTACATGTGTGACACAGGACCCTTCTTTATGGAAAATGCACTTCAAAGCCATTTTTGAAAATTTGCATGCAGAAGCATTTGTATTGTGGCTAAATCCTAATTTAGTTTTATTCTGACCTCGCTATCGTGTCACCATATTGGCTTTTGCAAGCTTCAGTAGGATTATTGAGTTGCATCTGTCATTCAGACCTGTTAAATTTCAGTTTCAGATAGCGATGCTTATAAATGCTTTGTAACCCCATTAATATGGAAAAACGTTGAGCTTCTCTCCTAGCTTGTGAAGGGACGTATTTTTACTGGAGTTGTGATCAATTAAAAACTTCTTTCAAGTAGTAATCAATCTGAGGTTAGCTTGTCATGGGAGCTGTTAAGAGTTCTGGGTACAACTGTGCCTCAAAACACCCTGTTTTTTTCTGAGATATGTGCTATATGGGTGGGTAAGCAACCTTGTCTGCAGTTAGAAATCTGTCCAGTGATGTTGGCCAGGGCAGACAGAAGAATGTGGTTTTCTTGTGTTTTTTTTCAATGTACTTTCCATTTTGCAGTGGTACATAATCTAAGAGAGCATGCAAAAAGCATGCCCTCATCTCTCCTAAACCCAGGCTCTGAGACTATTTCTTCCCGTTTTCTGCTCTGAGAAATATTGTTGCCTTTATCCTGGGTAAACCCCGAGGCAATACAGTTGTCCATGAGGGAAGCTTGTATGTGTCTAGTTTAATGAGAGCATGGTGAACTGCATCCTGGAAGTGTAATACACGTATGGCTGCTTTTTTTTTTTTTTTTTTTTAAGTACTGGATGACACTGGTGCTTGTTTTGTAGAGGCTTCCTTCTTTGGCATTCATCAAGGGGTCTGAGTCTCACCCTCATCTCAAGTATTCCAAATTCTGCATGCGTGGGTGATTGCTAATGAAGAGTTATTAGCTAATGGTTCATCCTTGTGCTGTGTCACAATTGTTGAAAGTTTCTACATGCGTGATTTCCAAAAGCAATTGCAGTCAGTAGTAAAGCTCTGCCTTTGGAGGTAGACGGGCAAATTTAAGATAATACGGCAGTCTTTGGAAGATCATGCTCTCTGCTGTGAAATTACACAAGTGTTTTTTAATCTGTGTTGTATTTCTAGGTGTACCATAGTCATTTCTGGCCACTGGAATGGACTGTGCCATCCAGAGACAACAACAGATGCTATGCGAAGATAATTTGCAATATTCAAGATAATGTAAGCGCCTCTTTCCTTTCAGGGAAAACAGCGTCTATACCTTCATCATAGGGACAGCTGATACCACAGCTATAACTAGGTTATTTTTAACAAATTAAAATTAATTTAAATTTTTCTACCTTTGGAAATGTAATACATATGTTTTAGTGATACAATACTTTTGTTTATACAAAAATAGCCCTTAGTAAAACAGAAAATTCTGCCGTTGCTATTGGTATATTGTACTTCTTCTGTATATGTATAATAAGAAGTAGAGATTTCTAAGACTATTCATTAACTTTGAAAAGTGAGCGAATCAATGCATGTAAAAATGGTTAGAAGTTTTATAGGTTTATCTTACTCTCCCCTCCCCAAACTGGGACATTCTTTTCAGGGAGATTCTTCTCTCTGAAATTGAGGTTACTCAGAAACTGTCACAACTTGTGACCTCTGCAAATCCACATGTGTCTGTAAAACTCTTGAGCTCGTTCTAACAGGATTAACGTATCTTGCCTGCACAAATCTTATTTAGGGTGATAATGCCAGGATTATCCTTAGACTAGGATAAAATTTCCTGGCTATGAAAATACACAGTACCTGCTGGTGCACAGGCAAAATAACTAATCCGTTAAAAGAATTCATATCCCCCTCTCTGAATGATCATCATCTGTTTAATAAAAAAATAGTTGATTTTAATAATATGAATTATTATAAAGAATAGTATGCTGTTAAAATGTATTCCTGTTAAGATAGTGGCATAGAGTTATCAGTCCTTAAAATATTTTGGATCTATTTTACCTATTTTCTTTTATCATCAGATACAGATTTGTCTTCCTGCAGTCTTTCTAAGCATCACATCACTATTTTGTAAAATTTGCAAACCTGTCTGGTTTTGCCCATCTCCCCTTTCTGGAGGAGTTTGCACTAGTGTGGAAGCTATTTTAGAACCCATGGTTACATTTCTAATCCAAAGTTACTTAAGAAAATGAAAATGCTTAATGGTGTTTTAAAGCGCTTAATTAATTTGTTTCTGTGTCTTGTCCTGAAAATTTGGAACATGTTTAAACATCTAGGGGTAGAGTTGAAAGTTACCCTGGATGAAAAATAGTTCAGTAACTTTTTAAAACTGTAGTTACCTCAGTTTCATTACTATGGTTTTATTTTTACATATGTCCGTATTTTTAAAGGAAAATAGGGGTAATTCCATTTTAGTTATTGCCTAATTATAGCTTTTCTTATTTAAATAAACCCTGTGGTAAATCTCGGTCTTCAGGCTTACTGAAAGGAAAATAACCTTTCAGTGTAGTGAGTATCCACACTCCCTTATATGTGATATTTAGTGGGAGTAGCAGATAACTTTTGATACCCAACTGGGCTACATCTACGCTCAGCAAAGTCTGATTAATGCCCTGAAAGCCACCGAAGTCCACAGCAGTTGGCACTTGCTGGAGGAGACTCGCTTTTCTCAGAGAAGCAAGCTGTTCTTTAAGAGAAGCAGGTCAAGTCAGTGCTGCTTGTTCTGTTGAGTGTTTGCAGAGGATATATGTGCTGTTTGACGTATTGTGCAATTGAACAGTAGTATAGATGTGAGAAATGTGAAGTTAATAGTATTGTCCGTGTAACTGCATGTCTTTCGGTTTGCTTTGCCAGTCTCTAGGTATATTCTCTCCCAATGACAGCAAATGCTGCAACGAGAGTAGTCATCAGTTTAGTTACAATAGACTTCTTGCCACATCTGGTTAGCCAGAACTTTAGCTTGTGGCCCTTTCCAGTAAGCCACTATCAAACTGAAAGTTCTTCAGTAGATACGCAGCATAGGCCCTGATGTTGCAAACCTTTGTGCAAGGTGCTCATCTTTACTTAGCAAACAGTCTGTTGGAATGGGTGGAATAGCTTGCCGGAATAAAATTTAAATGCATACTTGCAACTTGGACATACACTATAATCAACTATAGACCATGGGGTGCGTTACATTCGCATGCTGTTGATGTAAACAGAGGACTTCTGCACAAAACTTTGTAAGGAAGCCGATTCTTGAGTTCCTGGGTGAATCTTTTCCTTTTCAGAGAGAGAACAAAATTATACCCACTATCTCCCATCTCCCATGTTGGTGCTAATGCTAGTTCACATTGTGTGGTTACATTAATTTGTGGCATGTTATGTGAACTGATGAAACTATATACTCTGAATAAGAAAATCTTACACGTTATCTAAAGAGAACTGAATGCATGACTCTGCTTGTGTTTGATTACCTTTGGTATTTAGGAGAGAGTCATTGGTTTCCATGTCCTTGGTCCAAATGCTGGAGAAGTCACGCAAGGGTTTGCAGCTGCTATGAAATGTGGGTTGACAAAAGAACAGCTGGACAACACCATAGGAATTCATCCCGTCTGTGCAGAGGTTTGTATATGAAGTCACCTCATATCTCAGCTTTCGTAGCATTCTGGGCTAAGGTGTTGGAAAGCTGAGTAGCAGAGCTCTATTAAAGAGGTCAGAACTTGGGGGAATGTAGGAGGGAGGGAAGGACAGGAAATTATTTGTTTTTAATAATCAGAAATCTAACATCTAGGTTTGATCTGGGCTTATTGGGGTTTTTTTAGTGTGTTAATCTGCTAAACGTTTATGGTCTCCCCTAATCCAGTGCTCCCTCTACCGGGAAGTACAGAATTTTCCTTCCGCTCAAAGATCCGTTTATAAAGGCTTCAAATACTGTATCTGCTAAAGTGGTTGTCAAAGCTATTTTTTTTTTTTTGGTGTGTACTCAAAATAGGCTTATAAACTGGTGCTACAGAAGGGGACCAGGTACATGACAGTTATTTCTATTAAATTCTACCCTTCTAAAGATCTCTTCTTTACTCTCAAGGACTTGACTTTTGAAGTGAAGTACACAAGGCCATACGACCATTTTTTTTTCTCGTGTTTGTCTTGTTGTTCCTCTTTAGTGAAGAGCTTAATTTTCTCTACTGGATGGGGGGACAGCTCCTCCCAGGTATAAATCAGAGATGCTCCCCTGATTTTAGTAGTATTAGGGCCAGTTATATGAGCTGAGGATCCCTGCAAAAACTGTCTAGTACTTTTCTAGGTCTTTGTGCAGAATCTGTGTTTTCACCTGCATGTGTTAGCTACAAAGTTTAATAGTGAGCACCAGGATGGTGGTCTGCAGAAGTGAAGTCCACCACTCTTGTTTTGTGTTTCCAAAGCGATACAGTATAAGCAATATAATATGAACTCCACTAATGGAATGGACTGCTAGCAACCTGAATCACCTACAAAGCATCTGCAGTAAAGATTCTGGGTTTTTTTTTCTGTAATGTCATCTAACGGTGTTCTTGGAAGCCCTTGAAGAGGGGTGGTAGGTCCTTATCTTGTCAAGGGCCCTGTGGAGGGAGAACTCTGAGTGAGGCATTCAAACCTGTGAACTCCAGCGGGATATTAACATATGCAGTGTGAAGAGAGGATGACAGTCATAATTTATTCTGGACATCTGAGCTGCTAAAATTGAAACTGAATAGAATGATGATTAGACATAATTTAGGGAGGTAATTTCAGATAATCATATTTGTTTGAGTGGGGGAGGAAGAAATTGGCTCAGGAGAAATACACTATTTAAAGGCTCCAGGGAACAGCAATCAATTTTAGTGCCAATCTTCAAAAGGTTTTTTTGTGCCTGTTACTTAATTTAATCTCTTCAGCAGTAAACAAGAATCAAAGTGCAAGATGGTACTCTTTGATTAAAAAAATGCTTAAAAATTGTTTGGAATTTGTGAGGACTGTGCATATCTGGATGAATGGAATGGTGGATAATATCGGCATTATTTTTATTTTACATCCATGTAAAAACTAAGGAAAACGAAGTCTGATCTGAGCAGGAGAGTGGCAGTGTTGCAAGGTCAAATACTGACATCATCACTGACATTAGCACTAATTTATTCCTCAGAGTCTCCTATGAAACATGGTATTACTCAACTTGAAGAAGACTGTAAGACTGAGGGTCCCATTTCTCACTGCTTGCAAATTAGAGCCAGATTTCACTTCTTTTATTTGAGCAGTGTTTTGTTCTGCAGAAAACATGAGTTCTGAATGGAATTTCTTGCAAGGCAAAGTACACATAAGTGTGACCACGGAGTTGGTGGGACCTCAGCCTTACAGAGGATTACCTGTCAGCCTAGACTGTACCACGCTGCTTGAAATACAGGCGTGTATAATTGAGAATCTGTGATGAAGAGAAAGTGTCTTCTGAAAGCTGGGATGATTCTTCGAGTTAGCTAATGATGGCTTTCCAGCCATTGCGTCTAAGGTTTTGTCTTCATTTGAATAACTAACAAATTCTGTCAAAAAAACCCTCATGTTTCTAATAATTATAAAATTACTCCCAGCTGGCTTACTGGAGCTGGGGAGTTGTGTGGTCCACACAGCCGTTGGAACTGGCTAGCACGCCCAGAGCTTGCAGTCAGGCCAAGAAGAAAGCAGATAAATTCTGGGCTTTTTAATCTTTGTCTTTCAAAGTGAAATAATAATAAATGAAGATTCCCATATGTCGTCAGTCTGTGGATCAGAAACCCTGTCTGAAGCCATGTACTATGGTTTAAATGTATTGCTGTTCCACCATATATATTGGACATGCGTTTGTCTTCCTGATTTGTGCGTAATGCTTTACATGCTTATAGAAGGCAGAAGAGGTATATCATTTATTGATGTTCTCTGAAGAGCTGCTAGCAGCCTTAATGCAGCCAAGCTTCTACTTAGAGAACTGTAGGGCTTTCAGATCCCCGTTACCTTTAGATACTTCAGTGTTATTTGCATAACTGAAACGTGTATATACTTTATTCTGTGCTAAGTTTATTCGTGCTGAGAGATGGCTTTGATGATAGCTAATTATTGCAACTTTGAACCATTTAGATGGAAGTGGGTTTGATTTCCTTTTTTCCTTTCTATATTATATGTATGCAAAACTATGCAGTTATTTGCATAGTAAAGTTCTAATATTAAACAAGGTTTTGTAGAATTTTTATTCTTGAATTTTGATACCTTTTAATTTTACAGTAATTATTCTCAAATATGTTGTTTTCTTTAATGTCACTTGAAAGCAGTAAGGATTGGACTTTTTCAAACTAAATTTACTAAATGTTCCCTAGCTATTGTCCAGAGGATACAGATCCCAGACATGATACCTACATCAGCAATCGGTTCCACATTTCTGTAATATTTAGAAAGGTACAGAAGCAAAATTTATGTTCTCTCCAAATACTGTAGCCTTGGGTTAACTTCACTTTCCCAACAAAGACGTTATCTTTGAGCCATAAAGACACTTACTCATTAGGTGTACAGACTGGAGTTTATTATTGTTGAGCTCGTTCCCACTGTAAAAACTTAGGAGCATTAAGACAAAAAGCAGTACAAAGCCACGTGACTGCCTTAATTCTTTATTTTCCACTGTAGAAGGAAGACCATAAGGTAAATGAAGGTATTTGTATGCGTGGGTGCTATTTAGCGGCAAGGATTTTAAATGTATGTTTTTTCATTATTATTTTATTACTTTAAGAAGTGGCTGTGGTTTTGAGCATTATGCCCATGTTGATGTTCTAGAAGAGAAAATTCGTTATAGCCGTGCTAAGTGTTGTCTCTCTTTCTCTAAAGGTATTCACCACTCTGTCCGTGACAAAGCGTTCTGGTGAAAATACCCTTCAGGCTGGATGCTGAGGTTAAAGACCCCCATTCTTGTTATTGCCAGAGACTGACTTTCATCGCAATGGCTAACTTGCGCAATTCAGAAGAAAGGTTTTGGGATAAGTCATCCTCAGTCACCTGCGGAAACGCGTAGATCTTAACCGGAACATTCCCCCATCCGAAGGAGAAGACCACTGTGGGAGTTGGCCACTTGCGATGGTTGACTGGCAATTAGCAATGCAATGGGAATATCGACCGTCGAGCTGTTGCTTAGCAGGGCATTTAACGAATGCTTTCATGAAGTCATAGCCTAAAGCCTGCATTGTCTGGTGGGCAGTGATGGAAGAACTGCTAGCACGGCTGGACAACAGCTGTTTTGGTTTGGTTTTATTCCTCTCTAGTTTCTTACCTGAAAAAAGAACTTCTGAACTGAAGAATATTACCACGAGTTCAGACAATTGTATGGTGCCCCTGTGTACTAGGTTATAACACAGCAGTTGCAAGGTCTCCTCATGAGCATGCATTTTACCAGCTCACATGCCTGTGGAGGGGAAATTTGTACCTATGTGCTTGATCATGAGGAAGATATCCTTGGAAAAAAGTTTAGTACCATCTAGAATAACATATTTCTTGGCTTCTGAACTGACTCTGTTGTGAGTTTTTAATTTAGAGAAACTTACTTGTGAAAACATTCTCCTTGGTGAGAAAGGAAAATACTTTTTATGAAGGTCTTGTTATACAAAAAGGTTGAGGTTGTTTTTTCCCCCTGACAGTAACAACTGTGCATATAACACGGATGTGATCTTCTTAGCTTTACCTTGCAGCTTATGTGATCATTATTAATCCAAATTGGAACAGAGAGAATTCCAATGTGGAATGAATTGTACTTCCCAGAGCTCTGTGCAACTCTATATTCAATTGGAATAAATTCTTCCTTTCCAGGGGAGTTATCATATGCTGCACCATTTCAGGTCTGCATTGGCTACTTTGGACACAGCAGTACTGAGACTTTCCCTTGGATTAGTGGGCCTGTAGAATAATAATAAAAAAAAACAACAAACAACCTCACCCCCTCCAAACAAACAAGCAAACAAAACATCCACCCAACCTCCAAAAACCCAACAGTGAGAAATCTTCAATGTAGATCTGGCCTGAAAGCTGTATTAAATTCCGTGTGTTCATTGGTTTAGATTTAATTAAGACAATACTTTTAAAACAGAGCTTTCCATGAAAAAGAACTAATTCTCAAATATTCCTCCTGTGTTGGATGAACTGCATACATATTTATCAAGAAATGGTAAAAATGTCTCTTTGTAATGGAAATGAATGTACTTTTTGATCTATTTTTTCATTTCCCTCTATTTTAGCAGAAAGATTCGGATTACTTTTATTAAATGGTTCTCGGGAGTTTAGTAGTGTGGTGTGAATACGGGGTAAATTCTCCATCCCTCTGGGCAAAACACCTTATGCCTAAATTTCTAGCTGGTAGCAAATTCATGTATTTCTACTGAGATTTCTAGAATAGTGTTGTTGTAAGTTATTTTTATAAACTCGTACGTAACTGAAGGATTTCTAAACATGTTTTGTGTGGTATCAAGAATGGTCTGTGATGGTATTTTTTCTGGCCAGTTTATTAAATAAATTGAATATTTGCACAAAGAGATGCTCATTTTGATGCCTCTTCCAAGCAAAGAAACCAGGTGATAGCAAGATAATGTGGGGTTTTTTAAAGGCCAGAAGAGGGCACCTTGATAAACCCTGCTGTGATTTGTTTCGGTCTTTTGAATTTTGGAAGTAAATCTTTCTCTGAGAAGCAGGGTTCAGGGCTATTTTATGTGCTTTTTTTTTTTTTTTGCATGTTAAACATATGAGAAGGACATAAAAATAAGAAATTAATTAGGAAACCAACCTTCCACTGTTTGCACTAGCTGCCATCTATATAACTTGTAAAAGCTCAGGAGTCCAGGTTGCTGCGCGGTTGAACAGTGTAGCTGTTGGTATTTAAGCACATGAATAGCAGCATTTTCAAGCAAGTCTGCAGGAAAGTCAGATCCTGGAGCGTAGGGAATAAAGACATGTATGAGCTTGGCTTTGCAAGATTGCACCCACATGTATCTGTTCCCATGGGTCAAGTCATCATTAATAATATACTAGGAAAGTCAGATCCTGGAGCGCTGGAGCGTAGGGAATAAAGACGTGTATGAGCTTGGCTTTGCAAGATCGCACCCACATGTATCTGTTCCTATGGGTCAAGTCATCATTAATAATATACATTTTTGCACTGGTGACTAACAATTCAGTGTTTTTTGTTTAAATGACTTTTTTTTTAAATTTAAAACTGGGAGGCTTTTTTTTTTTTTCTTAGGGCTTTTTCTTTTCTTTCTCTAGAAGAAAAACATTTTCAGGTGTGTATTTCTGTGTCATCTGTGCATGATGATAGAGATATATAATATATGGTAACACCGCATAGGGATGTATTAAATGCCAAAGCAAAGTATTTAATGTTTAAATGAGTGAAGCTTCAGAAGCCCTTTCTTGTTGAAAACTGGCTTTTCTGATTGCTCAGTTATCCTCTATGTGGGATGGTGTGAGACTGCATGCTTTGGGAGTATATACTAGAAAATGTAGTAAGTTAAGCAGTATTTATGTTCAGCTAATATTTATTAGTTATTAACATTTTTTTTACCTCTTAGTAGTGTAAGGGAGAATCGTCCTAAGATATTACAGATAAAAATGCAGACAGCAAATTTCACAAACTTTAGCAGGGAATTAGTAGAGTTTCACTGGCAGATCCAAGAACTACTGCTCTTTTTTTTTTCTTTTTTTTTTTTTTTTAAGTTTCCCTGAACCCAACAGATCATACCCTTTTCCCTTTCTCCCCTTGGTGTGAGTTGTTGGCGAAGCCCTAACTTTCCTGTAAGTCTTGTATTCAAACTTGCATCCCGCCTTCCCTCCTCCAAGACCTGCTGCCTGCCCAGAGTCCCAGCACAGGCGACTCTCTCGTTACAGAGCCGTACGGTAGGGCAGGACCAGTTTCGGGCGAGGTGGATCTCCTGAAGACATCGTGGGCACTGGAGGTTTCACGGTCGGGTAGGTGTCTTGCTGTGCCTTGTGGGAAGACCTTGCACTCGTAAAGCCTGCTAGTGATTGTGTCTACACGCTGTGCCACCACGGCAGGTCCCTTGCTCTACAATGCCGCGTGGCAGCTGGTGGGTGACTGTAGGAGAAAAGCCATGGCTGCGCGCTGCTGGTGCACGCCGTGCCAATGCAAGAGTGTGAAGAAGGGGCCAGATGGCTGAGTCTTTTATGTAAAACTTGATAGACTCCTGTCAGGTCAAAATACGGTATATATGTTTGTGGTAAGATGGCAGCTCTGCTGAGAGTGAAGCTTCAGAAGCCCTTTCTTGTTGAAAACTGGCTTTTCTGATTGCTCAGTTATCCTCTACGTGGGATGGTGTGAGACTGCTTTCTTGCCAAGGCCTATTTGGCCTCTAGACATAAATTAAACCTAAAAAAAACCAACCCAGAAATAAGGCCCCAAGGGATCTGCCACACCAGTAGCCTCCCTTGTGCATGCACAAAATGACGGAAGGTTCCAGAGAGATTCCCATGGCGGAGGCAGGGGTTGTCAGCACAGGGTGTTGGTTTGGGGGCTGCCTGTGGGGAGGTGGGCATGCAGCAGGGGCTTGGGCATTGATCAGAGAGGGTGGTGAGGGGTTGTGTGGGGCCATAGTTGGAGGTGGAGAGGGTCATAGGTGGGGAAAGGCGAAGAGAAAGTGCAGGGCAGCAGCTGCGATGTTGTCCATGAGGGGAGTAGCAGAGGGCTTGGGCTGGGGGGAAGGTGGCCAAGAGCCCTCTCCAGAGACTGCCAAGTCTGGAAAATGTGGGAGGGTCTGGGATGTTGTGACCAAACCCAAAGGTGGCTTCAGAAAGTGTTTGTTGCCAAAGGGCAGGGGGGATGCTGCTGGCTGCCCTCAGTGGGACACTCCTCTCCCTCCCCACCATGGCTGAGAGCTGCCCCTTTGGAGGTGAGGGATGGCTTTATTCTGAGGGACTGCGAGGCCTGAGGGCCAGGTGCCTCAGAGGTGGCATGACCAGATGGCTGTGCCTGGGGACTCTGCTGGTGCCCAGAGGAACAGCTGCACCTGTTGAGGCAAGATGCCCATGACCTGCTGATCCACCATCTCATCCCGGTGAAATCCATGGCCCATGGGCTCCCAGGCCTTGCCCAGTCCCAGGTGGCGAGGGTCCAGTTTGCCCGTAAGGACCTGCCCCACCGCAGAAACAGCTGCCCAGGGATGCTGGACGCTGGTGGGGAGCAGCTGTACCTCCTGCAGGGACCTGAGGAGTCACTGGGGTTCAGGGACTCACTTTCCTCCCTGTGTGGTCCCTGTTTCCACCCTTCTCACTCTGTTCCCTTGCTCCAGCCAGAGCTCTACTGGGTTGTTGGGGTTTTGCTTTTTATGTTGGGGAAAAGTTAGGTTTGTTTTCCTTTTATTTGCCAAATGCTCCTGACCCATGTTCTGTTGGGCAGAATTTGATTTTACACATACAATTTCTTTTTCATTCAATTGCCCTTTTTATCTTTCTTTTCCTGTGAAATCCTCCTAGTTACTGACTTGTCTGAGGGAGTTGTCCCACAGCATTTTTACTTCTTAGAATTACAAACTAAGCCAACACACGGGGGAGATACATCAGGACAGAGGGAAAGCTTTCCCTCCCCTAGTAAAGCTGCGTGACTGGCCTTGCTCAGGACTACCAGGGACTCCTGTCCTGCCCCACCACATTGGCTGACCATCGGGTGCCTGCAAGCCATTGCTTTCTGCCAGGGAGTCCATGCTGTGGCCAGGCCCCCCCTGCTGAGCCCATCCCTGCTGTAGCTGGCCACCACGGGCCCAGACAAATGTCCATCCCCATCCTTAGACTTTAGACTTAATGGGAGCTGACCTGGGCTCGTAGTGACAAATCTGCTGCCAAAACCCCGCTGCTTCTTTCCTCTGTATATACTTGTCTCAGTGAGCACTTCTTTTCTTATAAATAGGTTTTACTGTAGGTTAGGCACAGAGTAAACCATGCTCTGCCTATTGCTTGCTTTCAAAAACAGATGGTGATACGTTTAGCCTAAAGATCTGATTTCCCTTTTAATGTCAATGTAAATCGACAGACAATACCATCCGCGATGAGAAGTGCACGTGTGCCACACGGTGAGATGAGAAGCAAACAAAAACAGTGACTTGTGTTTGGGTTTTACCCTGAGTTGGTCTTCCCACTCATGGCCTTCTGTTCCCATATATATCTACATATATACGCACACACACATATAAGTATATAAAAAAATATGTGGACTGTGG